GCGGTGAGCCACCATGTGGTTGCTGGGAATTGAACTCAGAACCTCTGAAAGAGCAGTCAGCACTCTTAACCTCTGAGCCATCTCTCCAGCCCTCTCAGGAGCGACTTGATGGAATCCCTATCATACAGTGAGCAGGAGACAGCTATGTCTGCAGATCCATGCATAGGTTAGAGGAAACCAGCTGGGTAGCAGGTCCTTTTTGAAGGTAGGAAAAACCAGGCTTTTGTTGCTTTTGTTGTTGGGTTTTTTTTTTGTTTTGTTTTTTTTTTTTTTTTTTTTTTTTTTTTTGAGACAGGGTCTCTCTATGTAGCCTTAGCTGGTCTGGAACTCACTATGTAATCCAGGGTGGCTTCAAACTCAGAGGGTTCTTCTCCTGCTGCCTCTCTAGTGCTGATATTTAAAGGTTAACACCAGCATGTCCAGCCAGTTTTTTTTTTCTTTTTTCTTCTAGGACAGGGTCTATGTTGTCCAGGCTAGCCTTGACCTTCCTATTTAGGATGTTCTTGTCTTAGCCTCCTGAATCCTGGGAGTACAGAAATGTGCCATTGTGCCTCTTGTCTTTTGTTTATTTGTTTGGGTTTGGTTTGGTGATTGAAATAGGGTCTTGCTGTGTAGTTCTAGCTGGCCTGGCTTCAAACCTGCGGTAATAAACTCCTGCCTCTACCTCACAAGTGCTGGGATCACAGATGTGTCCACCATGCTCGGCTGGTGGTTTTTTTTGTTTGTTTGTTTGTTTGTTTTTTCCCCCTGAGATAAGGTTTCTCTGTGTAACAGTCCTGGCTGTTCCAGAACTCACTTTGTAGATCAGGCTGGCCTTGAACTCACAGAGATCTGCCTGCCTCTGCCTCCCAAGTGCTGGGATTAAAGGCATGAGCCACCATTGCTTGCTGTCTTTTTTTTTTTTTAAGATTTAATTTATTTAGTGTGTACACAGTGTTCTTCCTGCCACTTTAAACAACAAATCCAGATTGTTTAAAGTTGATGATGTGTCCATTTTTGTCACGTAACGCAAAGGGGCCTTCCACAGCCTGGTCATTTGGTGGGTAGGTGCTTCTTCTAGGGCCTGTCTGTGTGTGTCGAGGTGGGAAGGAAGACCAGGGACCCATAGGATAAAAACAAAGCCACGTAGACCTGCTGCAGAGAAAGAAAAGGACACTGGTCTCTTCAGATTGGAATTGGATTAGTGACAGACTAACGGCCGGTTCCATCAGGAGAGAACTTAATTCCTCCTGTGTTATGCACAGGGCTGATGCCAATCAGATGTGAAGACAGCTAGAGAGCAGCAGTCAGCCTAGGGCCTGGTGAGGAGACTGTGTGTTCTTTGGTCATCTTCAGGGAGCTGGTTCCTCATGGTCTCCAGCCCTCCCAGATGAGCCAGGTCTGATTGTCCAGACCTGTGGTTGACCTTGTCTGGATCTGCTGTGAGTTTTGAAGGACTTTGCATAGCAGAATGGTCACTGGTCAGCACATGCTCAGCTAGCTTGTTCACAGAAGGCAGGTCCCAGCATGGAGTACTAGACCTGGGCATATCCATGTCCTGAGCATCTCGGCTTTACTACCTGATAAAATAGAGAGCTCTCCTTGCCCAGACAGTCTCCCAGGTACCTTAGTGGAATGGGCAGAACCTGTACCCCACATTCAAGATGTCTGTCTCCACAGCCAAAGGGTATGTATTGAACTCTGGAGCTGGGATTCTGCACCCCTACATTGAAGGGATGCACCTCCACAGCCAAAAGCATATGTGAACACTATGGCTGGGATTTTGCTGGTGGCTGGGACTTGGGTGGGTTCAAATTTCAACTTGGTGTGACTTGATATAAGGCTCCTGTGAAAGGAAATGAGGCTGGAATCTTTGTTTTGATTTTTTGTTTGTTTTGTTTTGTTTCAAGTTAGGGTTTCTCTGTGTAGCCCTGGCTGTCTCTCTCTCTGTGAACCAGGCTGGTCCTGAACTAAGAGATCCACCATGCCCCGCTGAGGCTGGAATCTTAGTGGAGTTGTCTCCATGGCACTCTTTGGATCTTATAAGCAGAGATGTTGCTCTGCTGTGCATAGAGATCCAGTCCTATCACTGATCAACAGGACAGTCCAAGTGTTGCTGTGGGCTCATGGACTTTTGGATATGAGAGTTTCACAAAATACCCAGGAATTTTTTTTTACTGGTATTATGAAGGAGGACTTAAAGCAATGTTCCACTTCCTCTGAACCTGAATTTTTTCTTTCATGAGCATCTCCTACTTGTAGTGTAGTAACCAACTTTCTAGGATGAGCCCTGCCTATGTCAGAGAGAGCAGGTAACAATAGATCCGATGGGGTAGCTTGCCCACAGAGTGCCTAACCAGGAGCACAGTCAACAGAAACAGGTGGCAGTGCCCCAAAACAAGGGTTTTTTGGGCTCTGGAATGCCTCCTTCATGGGTTCCTTGAACACATACTAAAGAAGCTCAAGACTTCTCCCCGAATACCCTTGAACCACTGCCTTCCTCCTTCATGAGCTCTGCCCTCCGATCCATCCGGGAGGAGGGCATTTGATGTCCTAAGATAGAGGGTACTGCTGAGGGACAAGCAGTCAGGGGTGGCCGCTGGAAGCATTCTCGCAGTGGAAAGTGAGCAAATGCTATAAATTCGTCAGACTTTGGGTTTCCTGATGGAGTTAGAAATGCCAGAACTGTATGGTAAGGGTAGAATGTGAGGTAATGGCAGTCAGGTCTCCCTTCGAAATGGGCGATGGCCACAGGAGGCTCTCAGCTACCCTGAACAGTGAATGTCTCGGCCCTGGGGCTCCTGAAAGGCCACTCATCTGCATGCTATTGCAGTATTGGCTGTGCTCTCAGCCTGTACTTTCCTCCGTCCTAAGGACAGACCAGTTCTGGTAACAGAACAGGTCATTTCACCCTGCAGTGCAGCACTGGTAGGGCTCTGGTAGAAGCACCTTCCCAAAAAGAGAGCTTTGCATCCTAACAAGTATATGCTTGAGTACCTGAAATTGGATTCTGCCAAAACCCTCCCCAAGCACCTTGAGGGGACAGCCAACATGCTTGGATAGTGGATCCAGGAATTCTTGGAGCCAACATTGTGGAAACAGGCAAGAGACTTTCAGAGGCCCCCACAGCCTGGGCGTCCTGCCTGGGGAAGTAGCCAGGCCTCTCAGGGCAATGTCTGTCCTGGCTCAGAGGCTGGCACAATTAGTTCGTGGTCCTTCTTCTGAATGCATCTTATCTAACCAGGGTTTTGCTCTGATTTGCTTCCCCTAGAAGGGGTTTGACAGCACAGTTAGAAATGACAGCTAAGAGTTGTCAGTATGAACCAGGTCAGTGCTGGGTATTTTCTCTGCCACCCTGAGAAGGGACTGCATTGCCCTGTGTCACCACGGGGAACTTAGGCCAGCAGGTTTGTGACCTGGTCACTGCACAGACAGATTCTTAAGTCTCACTGTACTTAGATTTCACTGGAAGTGGTTGTGGGTATGTCCTGTCCCTGCCTGCAGGCTCCTTATCCTAAGAAACCTCCTGAGGTTGTCCCAGAAGTGTGGGGACACCTTTAATTTAAGGCCTCCCCAGGGAAGATCTTTGTCCTAGATCTCTGGCATCTTCCTCTCCTTTACTGGTCCCCATTATCACAGGGCACACACCCACTGTCCCCTCTCTTCTGGCATTGTGGGAGAAACCGAGCCAAATGCAGTTCCCGTCTGGAGGGTGTTTTGCCTCAGCAAAGAAAAGCCCTCTCCATTCCTGGCAGAACTGGGCTTCTATAGAGCTTCTGGAATTGTTTCCGCTGAAGAAAACAGCTCAGATGCCTCCTTGCATTCAGCTTGTTAGTCAGGAACTTCAAGGCCAAAAGATTTGGCAGGATTTAAAGAGTCGGCTCTCAAGCTGTCTCATTTTGAGCACACTAATGCTGCCTGCCTTTTGATGGTGAGGTGGGTTCACAGTCTCCCTCTCCTGCCCTTTGTAGAGAGCTTTGGTGAGTACTGCAGATTCTTCAGACTCAGAGACTACCCAAGGCACAGGGAAGGACCAGACCAGCTAGCCTGCCCCGTGGCTTACCTCCAGAGGAGTGAGGTTCAGAGATGTCAAGGATGTTTACTGAGGCCACACAGTGAGCTGGAATGGAAACAACCTCGTGTCTCCCCATTTAGTTACAATTGTGGCCCATATCCCATTCCATCCGCTCAATAAACAGTCTATTCTCCCGTCCAGAGCCAAGCTCTAAGGTAAAGGTTTTGGGGAATGAAGATGGACAGTGTACAGTTACTGACACGTTCCTTTCTGGGAAGCCCTGGGCTGCATCAAGAACATTTAATCTTGCCCCCAGGGCTCTATTTCAGAAATAGCTTGAAATAGGTGCCTATGCCAGATGCTTCTGTCAGAGGAGAGGCTGGGAGGCAGCCTCAGAGTCAGGTTGTGGAGAGGGAGGTATATCTGTCTCTGTTCCCCTGCTCCATTTTCTTGGGTGATATCCTCCTGGGAGACATTGGGGTAACCGGTCCTGTGGAGAAGGAGGATCTGTTGCCTCTTGACTTCCAGGCCATGGGCAGGTCTGCTTTGAAGTCACTCTGATGTAGAGCAGAAAGAACACTCTCCATCTGACACAGGCCTTCTTTGCCATGCGCCTTGCCTAGGTGTAAGTTGTGTAGTGCCAGCCTGGGCCTCAGCCCAGAGAAGCTGGTGCACTGCAGATAGCACAGGGCGAGAGTTGGTGTTTCGGAGCCAGAAGAAACACGAGAATCACAAATAGACTCCCTCCTCTGGGAAGAGTTTGTGTGATAGACATGTACCTGCTGCGGTGTGTCTCTGCCTACCAGCAATCCTTTCTGGCATGCCATTCTACATTTGAATCCTGGGGTAAATCTGGACCCTTATCCGGGCTTGACCACCAGTATCTTGAACATCTATTTGGACGTGCTTCTCTGTTGCTCTAATACCTTTGAGGTCATTCCCTGCAGAAGATGGGCTAGGCCGTGAATCCCAGAGCCCCTCTCAGCTTCTCTCTTCTTTCTTACAGCTCACTCTGCAAAGCGCCAAATCCCGAGTGGCCTTCTTTGAAGAACTTTAGCAGTGACCCGGCCACCTCAGGAACTGCCACTTCTGCTGCTCCTGACAGCGACAGGATGGGCCTGACCCCATGGGAACCATCAATAGGGGCCTGGCTTGTTTGGGAACTCTCTGAGTAGAGGGCTCAGTCCTCTTCGTGTGCAGTTGGTTTTGAACTTTGGTCCTCTAGAGATCTCTCAAGGTGTTTTAGTTCTCCTGGTCTGCATCTTTCTCTTTGTTTTTTTTTTTCTCTCTCTCTTTTTTTTTTTTTTAGAAGTAATTGTTGCTGTACATGGATGCCATCCTTCCTACATTCTAGGCACTGTGGTGTGAGTGTCCCAGTGCCTGCTGCTGACTCCAGAACCTGGTTTGGGAAGTGGCTTTAGGATTCCAGTGTGGAGGCTGCCTAAAATCTACCATACTGGTGCTACCCACTGCCCCACTGGTTCCAAGATGTGCCTCCCTCCACAGTGAGGACCTGACACAGTGCAGAAGCATGGACAGACTGAGCTTAGAGCCAGCAAAGATGGTTTGTTAGCCAGGCTCCCCTGAGACCGTGTTGTAGCTGTCTGATGGCAGGAAGCAGGCTTACGATAGAAGCTGTGATGAAAGGCTGCTGGCTAGCTGAAGGACTGGGAGGCAAGTGGAGCCCCTGTGGGGATCATGACTCCCTTCAGGCTTGGTCACTTGCCCATCAGTGACCACGGCCTCCATTACCCCATTCAGTACGTGAACCTCCATCATACTCTGCCCAGCTCTCTCTGATACCTAGGCCCCATCGCCCTTCTCTTCTGACAGAGGTGTCCACTCACAGTCAGCGGTCTCACATGTTAACCCTATGGGTTGCTCCATGCTGGGCAGCAGGTGCACACCATGTGGCTCATACACTCCATGGTTAGGGCTGCCTTCTTGTAATGGGTGTCACTCCTGTGGCCAGTCAGGACCCTTAGGTCCTCACAAAGCAGATGATATGCCTCAGTCCATGAAAAGATGTCTATTAACTGAAGGCAGCTGAGTTGAGGGACTAGGAGCAAAAGTATGCTCCACAATACAATTTGGTTTTGAGAAACTGAGGCACTCTACTCTGTTCCCACTGGCTAGCCACCCATCTGGCCACTTTGCCATAGTTAGGCACCCCTGAGTGTCACCCTAGCCTCCTTGGTACAAGGACTCTAGTCTGGAACCTAAGGCTGAGGGAAAGTCCTCCGGACTTGACATGCTGGCATTTGTCAAGTTTGCCATGGCTCTAATGTTGAGCTGTCTTTTGGACCTGAAGCCCATCCCTGAATTTCCTCCAGGATTGACTTTCTTCCTCTCTGTGAATTTAATCTTTGACAATGACTGTGGGCCACAGGACCATGATGCTTGTTTATAAAAATTATGTCAGGCCTTGTTTTTTAATTTACTGTTTGTATCTCAAATTTGGGGAATGCAAAGCTACATAACCACGTGGGAGCCCTGATATTTGAGCAGTGGCAGGTGTAACCATTGCCTGGTGGATGGGGCCCGAAATCCACTCACTCATGAGTACCTGAGCTTCCCTGGAGAGAGATGCTAGGGTCCCCAGAGCATCGCCAGCCCCGGTAGAGGAGGACTGAAAACAGTACCCATTTTGAGCCTGTGGCTGAGTTTTTTGTGGTAGGCAGTTTTACAGTCAAGGAAGGACATCTCTGAAGTCCAAGGGACATGGCCAGCCCTGGCTGTTAGATTTCTAGCTCGTGCAGAGGTACCGTGATGCCGAAACAGTCACTGTTCAGTGCAGGACACTGAGGCCATACCTCAGCCACAGCAGCACTCTGACCCGAGGTCACTGCTGAGTTCTTGTGTACTTGCCAGGCCTTGCTAAACAGCACCCGTGGATGTACATAGCACTACTTGATTTACTCTTTTATCATCTTGTAGACAGATTTCTCTTGCTCCCTCACTTTCAAAAAAGTTCAGAGGCTGCCAGCCAACAGCAGTGACTAACTGTCCTTGCCAGCAGGGCCAGAGACTCAAAGCCCCTGGGGCAAGCCCCTTCATGATGTGGGGCTGGGGTGTGCAGCCTCTCCCAGGTGCCTTGAGGCCAAGCCAGCGCCCACAGGCTTCCATTCCTCTGTTCTCTTATTAAACAGCTCTTCCTGTGAGGCCCATAGCACTCCTGTGGGCCCAGAACATGAAGCTGTTTTCTATTTGGGGTGGGGGTGATTGTAATTTAAGTGATTGTTTTAATAAAAATTCTAAGCTGCTAGAGTCTGTCATTAGTGTCTTAACTTTTTTTAGCTTTTTGTTTTCTGTATATTGTATCTGAATGTATATATGTGCACCACATGTATGTCTGTTGCCCACAGAGGTCAGAAGACATCGGACCCTCAGCACTGAAATTGCGGATGGTTGGTTGTATGTTACCATGTGGTTGCTGGAAACTGAACCTGGGTGCCTTGGAGCAGCAAGTGCTCTTAATTGCTGATCCACATGCTTGCAGGCAGGACACTCATACACAAATATTCTATGGCATACACCTGTATAGTTCTCAGGAGGCTGAGGCAGGAGGATTACAAGTTTGAGGCTATCCTGTCCCCAAAATAAACTAAGTCACTATGCTATCATTCCACGTAGCAGTTCTGTAAGCTGTGTAACCTAATGACTGGCGATCTGTGTGAGTGTGCTGTGCCATCATGAGACAATGAGATCCCCTAACACTGCATTTCAGAAATCACTGAGTGATGCGTGCTTGGATGCGTATTTCCCAGGGTCTGAGTTAAATACTGTTTTGGAATGAAGTTATAACAGAATTATAAAAGTTTTGGCAATGTTAGCATAACTGATTAAACCACACTTTTTTAAGGGGGTATTTTGTGGTGGTGTGGGTTTTGTTTTGTTTGTTTGGCTTTTCAAGACAGAGTTTATGGCCTGACTATCCAAGAACTCAATCTGTAGACCAGGCTGACCTTGAACTCAAGAGATCAGCCTGCCTCTGCCTCCTGAGTGCAGGGATTAAAGGTGTGCACCACTATGCCCAGTTTAGGCCACACTGTTTTTGAGGCAGGATCTCACTATGTAACCCTGACTGTCCTCAAACTCACAGAGATTCACCTGCCTCTGCTTCCTGAATGCTGAGATTAAAGGCATATGCCACTACACCTGGCAAAACAATTTTTTTGAGATAATGTCTCATGTATCCCAAGCTACCCTTAGTCTCACTACACAGCTGAAGATGACCTTGCCCTCCTGTTCCTCTTGTCTCCCCACCCCCACCCCCACCCCCAGTACTGAGACTACAGTCACAGGACACCACTCTTAATTTATGTGGTGCTGGGGGTCCTACTCGGGGCTTCAGGCATGCTATTTTGTATTGGATCAATTTAAATACAAGTTTTCTATGTATAAATTGTTAGTCCTTATTAGGAGGGGCCTGAATTCCTCGACAGTCAAAGCAGAGAAATTGCTCTCTATAGACTGGTCATGTTAAGCAGTATTTTTACCTGACTTTTTAAAGACCCCAGTGGCCCAAAGTGCTCACACTGTCAGCCTAGCATCTCCATCAGGCAGAGCTGGAACTGACAGTATTGGCTGATAGTTCCATTATTTTGAAACATTATGTAGTCCAGACTATCCCCATCTCGCAGTCCTGCCTTGCTCGCTCTAGTGCTGAAATGACAGGTGTTCATCTGGTATGGAGTGACAGGCTCTGCCTGGCATCGTGGTGTGGAACAGATTGCCCAAGTTCTAGTGTTTTCAGTTGTCCTGATGATGATGGTAACTCCAGGTAGCTTGGACCTTGGTCCTTCATTGTGGTGTTCACAGCCCAGTGCCATGCTATCCCCTACTGTCATTGTGGTCTCCCTGCCAGCACTTCCTCCTCTGCCTGTGCTTCTTGAGTGGGGAGTACCTGGCAGCTGCCCTTCAGGGCTGAGTGTCCCAGAAGCCTTCCTGGGGAAGATCAGATTAGGAGTCATGCCTGTAGTGAAGAGCTGGGAACCCAAGTCTAGAAGGACTCTGAAGGCAGTAAATTGCTGCAACCTTGTCTGGTTCAATACCTTGCAGTCTGGAGAAGAGAAAGTCACTGTCTTCACCTCTCTGTCTCCCTGCAGACAGCCTAGACATCCTCTCCAGCAAGAGGGCTCTCCCCCGCTCCCCCCCCCCCCACTGCCTGCCGTGCGGGGCTCCCTGGCAGCCTGTCATTACTGCATTATGGCAGGATCCCGAGGCTGCAGTTCCAGCCCTGTAGGGAGAAAGCTCCTTTAGCCATCAGCGTGGTGGCAGGGCAGCGCTAGCAAATTATGGGACCGTTTATCAGCACAGCAAGGTCTCTATCTGGCTCAGAGGGGACCCCCGCTGGTTCCTCTTCTGTTTCCACTGGATGCCCATTTCTCACTGGAGTGGTCACCCCAGAATAGCACCTCGCCTGCTGCTGCTAGGTAGACGTCAGGGCCACCTGAGAACCCTGAGGTGGAGCCACAGAAGCTTCGGCCTTCAGTTATCAGCACTGCCTAGCGGGGCACAGCCCTCACCCCCAGGGCAGGGTCCTCTGTCGCTTCTGTAAAAGTGATTGACAGTGATACCTCTAGGGGCCTCCCGCAGATGAAGGGTGGAAACAAAACACACTCCACAGTCACAAGAGGACTCTTGTGGGTAAAGACGGTTGCTGTTAAATTCAATCCCAGGACCCACGAGGTATTGGAAGGGAGAGAGCCGACTCCAACAAGTTGTTTTCTGATCTCTAACTGAGCACATGCATGCCATCCCCCAATAAATACGCGTAATAAAAAATAAATATTTCAAGACAATAATAAAAAAATTAAATGCCAGGCAGTGGTGGCGCATGCCTTTAATCCCAGCACTCAGGCAGGCAGATCTATGTGAATTTGAGGCCAGCCTGGTCTACAGAGTGTCCAAAAAACAAAAACAAAACCAAAAAAGTATTCCAATTTCTGAGAAAAGTATGGTATGAGCATGGAACAGCAGGAAGAAACAGAATGCTTTTGTTTTTAGACAGGCTCTTCCTCTATCCCAGGGTGGCCTTGAACTCAAGAACACCCTACCACCTCACCCCCCAAGTGCTAAGATAGCAGGTGTGTGTCCTCAGCAGCGGGTGGTCTCCAGGGCTCTGGGGAGAAGTCTTGAAGTCTTGTCCTAGCAGAGGACTCAGACCCTTTTTGACCTGACCCAGTCAGCCTGGGATCCCACATGGCCCCTTACTAGCCATTCCAACCCAGGCAAGTGATCTCTCTGCTGGGTGCTGTCAGTGGCACTTTTATAGGGATTAATCATGCCTAGAAGGCCCTAAGCATAGGACCTAGACATGTGGTCACTCCAGGGTGCTGGCTTCCTCTGAATAGTGCTTTCTGGAGGGCCGAGGCAGGAGGAAGCAGAGAAGAGAACCAGGGTGACCCAGACCAAGTCACAGCCCAGAGGCACCAGACCTACCCACTGCCCCAAGTGGGCCCCATCCCACCCCCTGCACCTGGAGCTTAATGACCTTGCATCTGGCCTATTTGTCCTCAGTGTTTGCCCAGTGCCAGCTGCAAAGCCCATAAGATGATAGATAACCCGGCCTGGGGCTGCCCGGGAAGGATATTGTGCTACGTTAATACTCTCCACTTGGGTCAATAATTTACTGGAGGCTCAGGACAGGAGGCTCAAGAAGGACCACAGTCAGCTCCGCATATGGAGCTCTTGCCCCTCTCCAAGGCATCTGGGCTGAGAGAATCACGCAACAGACACTAAAGAGAGGTGCCAGTGACCTCATTTTCTCTTATCAGGCATGAGGGAGTCCCTACAGAGCTTTGCCCATTTCCAATATAAATAATGTAATTTGCCGCCCCGCCCCACCCCCATTGGGGAGGAAGGGGCGGCCTTTGATCTAAAGGAATTGAGTCAGTAAACAAAAGCAAGAGCGACTGTGAAGGTGTATCCTGACAGGTACCTGCTGGGCCATCGTTTACCCGAGAGACTAGCGTTAAATTCTAACCAGCACTGAGTCAGTCGAGCTTGGCTCTCTCAAGTTTCTCTTTGTCCCCAGCTGAGTCCAAGGGACACCCCTCTAGAGTTCCTGACACTCCCCCGTGGTGCCGCCCTACCCTTCCCTCCCTGGAGGTCCTGAGTGCTTTTGTGGAAAATGGTAGCCGGGAAGCTGTGTGGCTTAGGCCAGGCCTGAGGGTCTGCAGCCTGGGAGGAGAGACGGTAGAGAAAGCCCCAGGGAGCTGCTGCAGGCAGGGTGCACATCCCTGCAGTGTACCGCTTTAGTTGTATAACCTCCAAGACGCCTTGACTTCTCTCTGGGCTGTACAAGGTCACGTTTACACAAGAACTCAGGGACCCCCGCCCCAAGGTTCAGTTTCACAGCCTGGTTTTCCTGGGCTCTGTCCAAAGAGCGTTTGGGGAAATAAAAGGATGGACATGGACAAGGCCCAGCCAGCCTGGCCTGTGTTACAAATGCCCACCTCACCCCGTTTTCTCTTCTAACCCTACACTCCTCTTGGCACAACTTGGGAAGGAGCCTTAGAGGTGCCCGGATTAATGAAGACCCCTAGACAGAAGATTGGCAAGGCCACGCCAGACTTTCCCAGTGCTCTGCCTCTTGAGTCCCAGGTCCTGTCCGTTAGGATGGAGGCTGGGGTAGCAGGAGCTGAGTCCTCAGCCTGGCCTGCTGTGACAGTTGTTCTGCTTTGAAATCCACGGGGGACCACGCCCGATCCGTCCCTTCCTCCCTCCTCCCAGCCTTCAGCTCCCAGGCTGAGATCCCCAGTTCCCTAGGCTGAATCTATTAAGTCCTTCATATTAACCAGCGACGGGGGAAACAACCCTCTTTCATCTTAAGCGAGTGAATTTGCATTAACACCTGGGGAGTTCTGTTTGCCTTGAGAAAGCCCATTGCTATTCTGGGCTGCACACACCAGCGCCGAGTTGGTTGCAGCATCCTATTCTTTTATTAATACGGCTTTTCTCTCCTCCCTCTTCTCTTCCCAAGGAAGGGCAAGAGTGGCAGGGGATTCCAGGGCTCCCTCTCCGCGTGGGGATGCCAAGAACGAGGGGCAGGGAGCAGCTCCCAGTGAAACTGTTTTCCTGGGGAAGACAGCCACACACTGCCCTCTCTCAGAGATCCTGGTGTGGCTTTACCAGCTGTATTCCTCAGCCCTGCTGTGGCCAGTTCACACGGAGTTAGGGGCCCAGCATCTCACGGAGCAAATTGAGAAGGGAAAGGAAGGGAGTTGGGGTGAGGGTGCCAGGAGTTAGGAACTGCCTACCAT